AGATTTTTCTCTCTGAGAGGTAAGCTATTCTATAAGAAACAGGGAGTTGGACTCGATGATGCTTGTGGTTCCCTTCCAATCTGAAATATGACATGTCATTTCCCATGATACACAGACATACATTGCTTGTCTGAATTGTCCAGCTGGCTGAGGTACATACACCAGTGCAGAAAGCATTTTCCATTGCTTGCACAGGACCTTCCACCAAAGCTTGAAATGAGTGACTTCTCCATTGCTGATTGACACAATCCAAGAAACAAGAACTCCCACTGCTCACTATGTCACATTCTAACAGGCTTCCTGCTGTGACTCGGTGGTTTCTTTTTGTACTGTTGCATTTATTGTTTTGCTTTCCCTATTAAATTGTATTTCTGACTTGGAGCCTCTCACTGGTTTGCTTTCGAACCAGCGTAAATGTCCCCAGTGTCATTGTCAATATGTTTTGAGCAGTGTCCTTAGCAGAAGCAAAGTTCTAAATAAATGGTAGATGCAGATGGCCCTTTTACCCTGCTGCCTAGGTCCAGTTACACAGAAACACAAAATACCTGTTTGCTGTTGCCCATAGTGTCATTTGAAGGTGGAATGTGAAGAACTTGAGCTATGTGAGCTGTTCTGTCTTCTGTATCTTTCTCACAGGCATCAAACAGCTTCTTCAGTGCAAAGACAACAGCTGATTACAGCAGCAATCACAGTGAAACACAGAGGCACAGTGTGGACAGCATGTCCTGAAAACCCATCTGCATTAGAGTAAATGGTAGGGCCACTAACTGATTAAAATATGTCTTCAATACCTGTGAAACACACCGTTTCATCAAGCTGCTTGCATTTTGAAGCCCATTCTTCAGCATTCCTGGGGCCTTATCATCACAATCAATGCTAAAAATGGCCTCATCAGTATGGTCCTCTAAGGTGTACTGTTTTGGTATTTTCCTTCAGATATCCCTTCAGCATCAGAGCAGTGAGTCAGACACCAAAATGAGATCTCCTAGCTAGCAGTTCAACCATTCACCATAAGCAAACTGGACTGTTTTCCTACTTGTGTTTAACATGGCTGAGATACAGGACTGGTGTTTGAAACGTGCCCTTCTGAAAGGCAGGAGGAAGCATGTCACTATCAGTTTGCTCTCTACAGCATTTTGCAAACCCTGCTGGCCTGGAAAATCAGAGGCCCAAACTTAGTCCCCAACTCTGTCTGATACAGAAATACTAATACATAAAGGCTGCTGCACTGGCTACACCATATTGATCTGATAAGACTCAGGCTGAAAAAATGGACATGAACAAACCTTAATTATGTCACTGCAATGTTTATACTTCCAGCAGGACTGTATGGAGCTCCTCACTTTTTCCCATTCATGTAGCCGGAGCAGCTCATACATATGCAGCACAGCAGATAAACATGAAGGGTCATTCATGTCCTCGGAGTCCTTGTGCATGGCCATCACTTTAGACAAGAGCTCTTTATGTCTAGTCAAGTAGGATGTTAAAAAACTTAGCTAAGACAAGACGAAACAGTGAATAATTGTAACCATTTTATGTTAGGAATCTATTTCATGAATCCCATGTTTTCTACAGTGCACTTCTCAACTATACTGTATAGCTGACTAGCAGCCTTTGTGTGGGAAACAGTGCTTTCTCAGCTCAGTTTTGCCTGGTCCTAGTGGAACCCGACCAAAGAGTGGCACCTTGGCTATGTCACTGGAGGCTGGTTTCCTTTATTAATATGTTCACTCTAGGAATGTCTCCCTCCCTTTGTAGAACGAGCCAAGACATCTTCTAGAAGTCAGATACAGAGATGCTGTCAGGTTGAAAGTCTGGGAAGAAGGTGTCCAGTCTGCTGACCAGAAACTGAGTCTCTAAGGACTGAAAGAATCAAGAAATATGTGGCTTTTCAGTGTAGAAACACACAGCATATCAGAAATAGGAATAAATACCTTACCTCTCATCTAGCTTTTCGAACTTCTCTTTCAGTTTTCCATTTTCCTCTTTCAACATTTTCCTCTTTCAGTTTTACATTTTCCTCTTTCAGCTTCTCATATTCCTCTTTCTCCTTAAGCTCTTTTTTGGTGACTCCTCCATGAAATGGTCTGAAACAGATTTCTGTTGTGAGATCTCTCCCCTACTAATAATCTGAATTCCAGAAAAAAAAAAAAGCTGTGAGGTGGGAAAGCACAGAGCATCCAGGAAAAGCTCCATGGGAGCTTAACAACCTCCCATGAAAGCCCCCATGTAGGATTTTTTCTCAAATCAAGGGAGAAGCTATTTGCATCAGAAGAAACAGAGGTGTGGTTGTGAGGATCATTATGATTTCCCCCTCTCATATAAATTCTTAGTATAAAGAATCACATTACCTGTTGCAATTCTTCAGATGTTGTCGTTGAGTATTAACATTGACAGACCAAGCTCTGTTCTCTCTGTCCATCCATCCATCAAGGGAAAGAAAGAAGTAATAAACCACACTACAGTCAGGAGGCAAGTATGCATTAAAGTCTTAAGAAATGCACATCCTAAACTTTCTCTCTCCAATTCCTGATCAACTCATAGGGAAAAGAAATCTAGCGATCAATACATCTTAAGGCTGCTCTTTGCCAGGTGGGCGGTTGTGGAGGAATGGCTATGCGAAAAGGGACATGATTTCCTTGGAGCTGACAACCCAGCTTGTAGTGTGGTGTAAGGCCTACAGCAGCTGTGACTGAGCCTTGAACCTGCTGATAAGAACCAGCTCTGCCTGGCAGAGCTGCTCTGACCGGCTCTGAGTCCGGTGTCAATAAGCTCCCTGGAATTCCTGATAACATCCTGGAATGTGGACAGACACCTGCTTGCTCCAATCATAAGTTTACCCTGGACACTGGGACAAGGGCAATAAACCAATTATGTATCCGCTGCGTTCGCATACTCTGTGTGAGTGTCTATATATATCTTGTAAGCACTAAGAACAAAGGAGAACGACCATACTCATATTGAGACTCATCGTTACTCCAGGTCCGGATCCCACTCCAACAGGCAGTTTGTGATTCTATGGGGAATACTGATAGTGCAAATAACTCCCACAGTGTGAGATCTCTATGTTATATGGTGCAGATCAAGCAGCTTCTGTAAATTGGCTCTGGGTTCCCACTATAGTCTGGACAAAATTTGTTGCTAACTCAGAGCCCATTTCATGTCTGGCTTGCTAGTAATCTTCTGTCCAACCTGCCCTAGCGTGCACCAGCTACAGTTGATCGTCAGGGGCCATGCTAAACACTGTCACTTCTGGTCACTGGACTTACCTAATCTCTTTTTCCACCTGTGCTGGCCATCCTTCCAGATTCTGTAAGCAGCCCACCCGCATTGAATTCTGACCTGCGTAGGCTGATGTATGGTGCCAGGAGTCAAATGTAAGTCTGTGGAAAAAAGAAAAGGGAATTCTTAAAATGAAGGGGGAAAAGAACACATGCTTGAAACAATTACCTTATAAAAGAATCCTGTGAGCAGAGGCTTCATGGCTACATCCATGCTAGCAAAAAAGTCAGACAGGACAAAGGCTTCAGGGCACACACTAGGATGCAGATTTGGCACAAGTGGGATAGCATCCCCCCAGCTCAGAGGACTCCACAGGCCAGGATTTGCCAAAACCAAAAGGAGGGTTTGGGTAATCATTAGGTCTGGATGAAGTGGACAAGATACAGGAACAGCTCCTGAAAACCAAACTTCACTCAGACCTGCAGAGTGTGGGGAACCGCAAACGCAGGTGGCAGCTCTAAACCCATTTTGGCCACCTGCTGTTTGGAGGTGGCCAAAACCAACATTGCAAAGTACAAGTGTGTTTTTTTTTAGTAGAGAAGTACAAATATCTGTGTTCTCAAGGTAATTTTTTTATTTCTACAACTGCTCTGTGTCCTATTTCCTAATGAGGATCCCAAATATCAACAATTATTGCAGAGATTGCCCCAGATTAAGGTGCTCCTGCAGCTGGGACACAGGTGGAGCAGAGTGCAAGCTCCTTCCTGCAACCAGATGTCAGAGAAAGCCTAAGCATGAGACTTCACCATTCGTTCATGCCAACACAAGCCCGTACAGCTGCTGTAAGGGACTGTTGTGCCCCTCTCTCTCAACATCCCCCCTTGCTGAAGCACATTCTGGGTTTGTTTACTTGGATGAATCAGTGTCCAGTCTTTCAATGAAGACACTTTTTTGGTTGTTGTTCTTTAAGCTCAACAATCCAGTAAAAAATGTTCATTAAAGTCAGTCTTTCCCTGCAAAACTGATGACTCAGAGACTGAGTCCCGAAGTCCAGGATCTTGTTACACTATTTATACTGTTCTTTCCAAGTTCTCTTTCTCTAAGACTGATTTAAGGTCTGCCTCACACTTTGGAGCTGAACTCAAGCAGAATTTGAGGAAAGTAACAATTCCTGTGGTGGATAGGAAGGTTAGGAAATAAGAAACAGAGCTTTTACTGAAATATTTCACAGTCAGGAAATGTTTTCAGCCTTTCATTGCAACCTCCCAAGGAACTTTGTAGAAATATTCAGACCTACTAAGATTAAACTTGGTAAGTTTATCCAGAGACATGCACTGTGTAACATACCTGTTGCCTTCTGCAGTCATCTGTCTGGGATCAGTGGCTTCATACTGTCCTTCCAACATCTGAGTTCTGCTGAGGGTAGAAGAGATGGGTGTCCCCATGCTTTTACAGCAGCAGCAGATGTTTGTTGAAATGAGTTAGCAGCACCGGGAACCGTCCATGCTGCTGCAAGTGCAAGAAGATACTGCATCAGAGAGTTTCTTGTCAAAGTCCAAAGGGACTTTCACAATAAAACCAGAAAGAAGCCATGCCTATTTATGGCAAATGCGCTACTTCTTTGCACTTTGTCTATCACCTCCTCTCTCTCCATCCAATAAAGTCAGGGAAGGTGTGGACCTTCACTGTGTAATATCAGCAGTTGCAGTTAGACCTGTTCCCATCTCTTCAGCCCTCTCTAGCTCCTGGAGCTGCACTCCTCTGCACTGCAGTTGGCCATGGCCTGTAAGCCACTCTTCATTGTTGCAATAGATTTTGGTACATCCTACAGTGGGTACTGTTTTTCCCTCACTTCAGGTACAGACCAAATCCGCCAGGTGTACTGGGGAATGGAGCATGGGCTCAAGACCCCAAAGACACCCACGTGCATCTTGTTCAACCAGAAGAAGGAATTCAAGAAGTTTGGCTATGATGCTGTGATGAAGTACAAGAGCCTGCCCTCCAGTGAAGCTGACAAGTGGTACTTCTTCCAGAACTTCAAGATGGAGCTGTACAACACAGTAAGAGAAATGGTTACTGCCAATGAGAGTTAGAGCTATTCATTTATTTGAAGGGTGGGGGTTAAGGAATTGATGAAGAGGCCTGAGTAAATTTGGTTGATGAGGGTGAATGAACATTAAGGGTAATTTGATGAAGAAGAAGTTGTTTATTTTTGTAATTGGCTGAAAGTTTCATGGGCCCTTCCTTTGTGATGGATTTTAATTGCCTAATGACAATAAAACCTGACTGCACACCCAGGTGAATCCAAATACACGTTCTTAACAAAAATCTGCCCTGTTCCAGAGCTTGACAGAGAAACTACCCTCCCTCTGGGTCTCCCTGCCTCAGTCCTCGACAAGGAACAGGAAACAAATGAAGTTTCCTGTTATTCAGAGTTGGGCAGCCTTGGCATCATCTTAAGAGCTCATCCCTCCCCCTAGCTTGTCTCTCCCTCCCCTGAAATGTTATGCTGAAACTAATTTAAGGTTGGACAGCTGTTCTTCATGCATGTAGTGGCTGTCATTTCTCTCTGAAGGCTCTGTGCTTGTTCAGAGCTGTTCACAGCTTTATCTGGGTTTGCTTGTTGAGCCAAACATTAGGTTACCTTAGGACTTCCCTGTCTGTGCTCCAGGGTCCCACACAGCCTCCCAAAGCATGGAATAAACCAGAGCACAGGGCCAGCCCCAGGTGGTCTCATGTCCTCTTTTTGTCATCCCCCAGTGCTAACCAATGAGTGCTGAACTGGATGACATGGTGGGTAAGAGGGGTCTTTAAGACTTTCCTGCCCAGGAAAGCTGAGAATGACGTGGTCTGCAACAATGTCACCTCTGGAGTGATGGGTTTTCACTTACTTTTGGAGGGGGCTGGAGAGAGGTTTTAGTTAAACACCATTTCTTTGCATCCAATGAGCATATGGTTAAAGGCAATTTCATTCCAGAATCAGAGAATGGTTAGGTTGGAAGGACCTCTGGAGATCATATGCTCCAGCCATCATATGCTCTGGAACCACCTAGAGCAGGTTGCTCAGGACTATTGTTCAGCTGGTTTTTGAGTATCCCCAAGGATGAAGATTCCACAGCCTGTCTGGGCAGCCATTAGAAGGGTTCAGCAATAAGAATGAGGAACACTAGCTCCCAAACATACAACCAGTAATTTCTGAATCATCATAGAAAGTTGGCATGTCATTTGTAACAGCTTCCTTATATCACCTGCTCCTAACTGAGCCAGGAACAGTGATAGGACATTAGATTGTAAGTACAAATGAACATAGATTCCCACAGGTTCTTCAGTGGCTGCACCTGCAGAACAGGACTTGCCTCACCTTTCCTGGTTGTGTGTCATTTGAGCTGGGCAGCATCCGGACCTCCCTGTTTTATTCCCAGGTTACTGGAGGTGATTATGCAGATTATAATCCTTGTGATTTAGGGCCATCTTTGATGGCTGTTGAGGTAAAACAAAGAAAAGCACATGTGGTGAAGGCTGGCTCCTGAAACTTCTTTGTATGCAGGGAACAATTCCTACTCTTTCTAGACTAGGCAGGCAGTCAGGGACTGATGGAGGGAGTTTTGGTCTCCTGGAAGAGACTAGAGATTTGTCAGAGCAGTCACCTGCCTCAAGCTTCAGATACATCCAGAGGGACACAGAAGCCAAGAGGACATACAGAGAACCTGTCTGACCAGTGGGTTATTTGTCTACATGTTCATCCTGCATATATTTTGTTAATGCCATACACAGATGTATAGGTGCAACCAGAGAGCTCTGCAGCCTCTGGTAAACGTATGGTGGTGTCACATACAAAGTCCAGCTCTCCCTACTGCCTCTCCAGGGGGATTTGCAGGATCTTTACAAAAGTTGTCCTACAAGAAACAGCTGATTTATCAACCACATTGGTATTTTGCCTCCTGAATCACAGGTGTGGTGGGTAAGCAGTTTGATAGCTCACCTGTATCAACTGGACTGCAGTTATCCACAGGACTGAAGTCATTGCTGCGAGTTTGCTCAGGTTTGGAGACAGGACCTCCTTCTGTGCCATATATTGTGCAGTGCTCAGTGTGAAGGGGATAGGTCTCATAGAGAGACTGTCGTATGTGACCCTGAGACCTTTTTGTAGAGTGTCACATCAGGCATGGAGCTGAGAGCCAGCAATGGAAAGGTGCTTCCTGCCCTGACAGTCTTTTCTGAAAGCCTGCGCTACCTGAAGGATCATGCCCTGAACACCATTCAAGATGCCTCTTTCCAAACCACCTATGAGTCGGAGGAGATCACCTGGGTCATCACTGTCCCAGCCATATGGAGTGCTGCTGCCAAACAGTTCATGCGCCTGGCAGCAAAACAGGTAAACCCAGGGGTTATCCCACTTCCTCAGACTGTGAAGGTTTCTTTGCCCATTGAAGCAAAGGAACTCCTCAACATGTAAACAACCTGTATTTTAAATTTCAGTCCCTCAGGGAGAGAAATCTTCCAGGCTGAGGGTGGTAAAAGAGTGGATGTCCCAAACTGTCAGTAAGAACAGCTGTGCCCTTTCCCCACACTGCCATGTAGAAATGAGCCCCACAGAGATCAGCAGTGCAGGAACCACCACCCCTGCATGGGCTCCTGGGGTGAGAACAGTCTCCCTAGCAGGGGGCCATGCAGCAGAAATCTCATCATGTTTGCTTGAACTGACTCCTTTCTTTCGTGATTTTAGGCAGGAATGATCTATGACATGCTCTCTGAGAATCTGATCATTGCCTTGGAGCCAGAGGCTGCATCACTCTGGTGCAAACAGCTTCCACAGGAAGGGTTTATGGCAGACAGCAGTAACAAGAAGAAGTTTGAAGACTCCCCTGGAATCCAGTATATTGTTGTTGACTGTGGAGGTAAAATTTTCCCTGTTTAGCAGGAAAAATGTGTTTGCTGGGCACTGAGCATGGCTGTTTCACAGCCTCCCCAAAGGTCTGCAATGCAGTCCCAGAGCTTGGACTCCACTGCTGTGTTTGTCATGGGGCTTTTACGTTTATTTCTCAATTAATGAGATCCCATGCGCAGGCAGAAAGGCAGGAGGAAAGAACAGAATTGCTAAAGGCCTGATCCATGGCAAATGGAAGTCACTGAGTGTCTCATGCTATCTTGCACTTCAGGCCAGAGAGTCACAAGAAGAGCTCCTGCCACTGAGCCAAATCAGCCTGCACCTCGTCCCAGCATCAGGCAAATGCTCTTGCATAGCCTGAGCTCATAGTCTCCACTATAGGAGCCAGTGTAGCGCTCAGTGAACTGACCAAAGAGATTAGCTAGCAGGCACTGTGGAGTAAATCATTAAGAATATGTGATGAAGTACTTTTTAGTAATTTCTCTAGTTTCTTGTGTGAGTTTTTTCAGTGTGACATGAATTTTCTGCCACGAGCAGTCCGGTAATTTTGAACAAATACTGAAAAGGCATCAGGAGGACCACAAGTTCCCAAGATGTATCACCACTTCTCACCTTTACTCAGAGCTTGCATATCAAAAGGCATCTCTGTGCCGAGGCTGGTCTCCTTTTGTGACTAGAAAGGAAATCAGCTTGTTCAGGGAGCAAGCCAGAGCATCCAGCTCTTAGCAGTAATTACTGTAGGATCCTTGAGAGATCAGGCTCATAAGCAAAAGTGCATACATTTAATAATCTAGAGAAGTACAAGCAATAGCAGAGGAGTGAGGATGAGAAAAGAAAGCAGGAGAAAGGCATATTTGTGATCCAGAAGTTCAGAATGTGAGATTGTATTCAGTGGAAAGTATGCACTTCTTGTACTTGAAAGAAACCAGCTAACTTCATTCATGTTTGTGTGTGTAGGCGGCACAGTAGACATCACGGTACATGAGATCCAAGGAAACCATTACCTGAAGGAGTTACACAAGGCAAGTGGAGGTGGATGGGGAGGCAACAGAGTGGATGAGAAATTCTATGCTTTCCTCAAGGAAATATTTGATGATGGTGTATGGGATGAGTATGTAAAGAGCCACCCAACTGAATTACAAAATATGATGTACAACTTCAGTCTGCAGAAATGCTCTGCTAGCAGGGAGGCAGTCTACTTACGTTGCTACTACAACCTGACCAGAGTGGCAGCATGCAAGAAGGACATCTCCCACTACTTCGAGAAAGCACAAGGAGCTGTCTGGTGTGATGGGATGATCATGATTACATATGAGAAAATGAAGAGCTTGTTTGACTACAGTATCAAAAATATCATTCGTACTTTGAGGGAAATTCTTGACAAGCCTGAGATGGCCAAGGTCCAGCACATTTTGCTTGTGGGAGGCTTTGCATCTAGCATTATCTTGAGAGATGCGATCAGTCAGGCCTTTAGCAAAAACTATCATGTCCTTTGTCCAATGGAGGCCCAAGCAGCCATTGCAAAAGGGGCTGTTTTATTTGGAGTAAATCCACGCATTGTTACCTCAAGAGTCAGCAGTAGGACATATGGTGTAGGAATATCTGTGAAATTTGATAGTGCAATCCACGATGCCCGTAAACGGGTGGTCTCAAAAGTTGATGGCTATATTTATTGCAAAGATATCTTCAAGAAATTGGTGGAAATTGGGGAGTCAGTGAATATAAATGAAGTTGCTCACTATGATTTCTATCCAGTAGAACCAGATCAAATAAGGGTACGCTTTCGTTTCTATTGTACAGAGAAACAGGATGCTCAGTACACAGATGATGAAGGGATGGAATGGCTTGGCTCCTGTGTAGTGCCAATGCCAGACACACGGCTGGGGAGAAAACGCCGGCTGAAGATGGCTATTAAATTTGGGCTCACTGAATTTAAAGCCACGTGTACTGATGTTACTTCCAATGAGAGTCGGTCAGTTACAATAGATTTTTTAGCTGTATAAATGCTTGTTATGTTGAGCAGCAGGGACAATAACACAAGAGAGAAAGTGGCTTTAGTGGGACACAGTATGGTCAAAGGTTGGACTCAATGAACTCGGAGGTCTTTTCCAAGCTTAATGATTCTAATGATTCTATAACTACTACAATAAAGGAGGCAATTGGACTAATAAATCCATCATTCAGCTTTCTGTTTACACAGGTAGACTGCTAGTCTGAATCTCTGGTTCTTTCCATTCCTCACTAATCATCCTTTCAGTCCAACACTTCACTTTCTACAGTATCTGACAGCAGGTTTATCTGCTTCTTTATCTCATGCCCTTTTAGCTTGCATCTCTGAATACAATAGTCCACACCACCAATCTCTGTGCTCTGCCTGTGTTTGATACAAATTTTCTGGACTGGTGCCTAACTTCCTCATATATCAGCCCATAATTGTTTATTTTAGCCTGATGTCTTCTGTCAGCTACATAGTCTCTTCCTCTGATGTCAGCTGTCTTTATCTGGAGTCGAGGCTTAACTCTGCTGGGGATTACATTCGATAGATTTCTGTTTTCTTCAGAACATCACTTACATAGATTGTGTGTAATTAAAGTGCTAGTGTCAGAGTCAAGGGTGCTATGTGAAGCAGTAACTTAATGTAGTCTGGGGGTTTGCATCCTGAAACCTGTGTGAATGTTATTTCCATTAAATAATTGGATGATTTGAGGTCATTAACCAGGTAGATAAGAATGCCAGATAGCAACAGCACAGATAGGAATGTACCACTGCCTGAGCCCCTCTGTCCAGCTCTGGGTGCTCTCTGCACCTCTGACTTGGGCCTGATACTTTCCATACCCATAAAAGCTGATTTCTTTACTTCCTGCCTACAGCACCTGTGCAAAGGTTCAGCACGGTGTGGCCTGCATGAGCCCAAATTTGTCCAAGAAAAGGATGCAATCCTGCAGTGTGCTGGGTCTGGCTGGGGTAGAATTCACTTTCTTCGTAGTGACTCTTATGCTGGTGCTTGATCTGTGACCAAAACACTGTTTATAGCACACCAACATGTTTTGGGCTTTTTTTGTGGTGGGAGTGTATATTCTCCAAAGTAGAGTGGAATCTGGCTGGGCATTGGTCTGGTGGTGGGGTGTAGTGACTACCTTTGCATCACATGTTGGGTTTTTTTGTGTTGGGTTTTTTTTCCCTTTGCTAAGGGTATAAAGTTTCCCTGCT